CTGAGTGTTAACAAATGAGACAAAATCTTGCTCATGTGACTTTGGGCCTGCTTTTTCCTCATCCTTGTCATCTGGAATAGTAACACACAGTTGTTCTCATGCTTTATTTGTTGTACTTTGCTTTATGAAGCAGAGATCCCAGGTTCAGTCCTTCATCCGTTGTGTGGTTGCTGATACCAGCAGAATGTTACATTTGGTTGCATCATCTGTTAAATAGCGATTGAAACAAAATAAGCTCTGGTTCCCATGCCTGGCTACTATCAAGTCACTCCGACTGAAACGGCATTTATTTGTGTTGGGCTTTGGCTGATGACATGACCAGACTTTGCTGTCGTTCCCACCCTCAGTAAATGCTCTACCAGCACTTGTCTGAGCTCATGTGTGAATAATAGCCACTTGGCTGAGATGCTAGACATTGTCATTGCTCGTAGAAACACAGCCCTGCATAAATCAGAGCCTTCTGCCAAAGGGAGAAAATTTAGGGAAGATGAAAACAAAAATCACAGTGCTCTGCAATTTATTTGCATTGAGTCTGTTCTGTTTACTGCATGTCAGCCACTGATGCTTTCCAATTTTGCTTTAAAAATGCTGTTGAAAATCATTTTTCCTTCTCACCAAACATTTTGCACTATGTTTATTGAGAGCTTTGTGTTTTTGGTTTGATGTTTGGAAAGATGAAACTTGTTTGAAGAGCCATAAAAGGGCTCACTGCAACTTGACTGGATTCCGATGGTAAAATGCTAGTACTTACTTTCTTCTAGCATAGAGAAACTTTGAAATCAATGGTCTTGACACTGTGGAAAGGAGCAGGTTTTTGAAGATCAGCCCTGTAATCTGGAGGTCAAAGGAAGACTGAGTTTCTACTAAATTAGAAGGCAGGATCTCTAGCTTCATTTTGATTAATTCTGTTTCCTTTCTGTAAATGTTGCAATAGATGGCCACAGTGGTGGCCAGAGGTGCAGCCCTTGGAAAGCAGGCTTGTTGGTAAATATTCCTAGTTGGGGAGTCTAAACTCTGGGCACAATTTAAAAATAAAAGAGATGCTGCTTAGTTCTGAGATGGAAAGTTATTTTACTCAGAGGATCGTGAACCTTTGGAATTCTGTACCATAGAGAGCTATGGAACCCCAATCTTTTGAGTATGTTTTAAGTAGAGATTTTCAGATTTCAGATTACTCGTGGTGCACAGGGTCACGGAGTTGGGGTGAGTTAAAAACATTACAGTGTTCGATTAGCCATCAGTGAATTGAATAGAGGAGCAGGCTTGAGGGCTGACTGTTTGTTTCTGGCTACTGCATTCCTAATTTGATTCACTCCACGTTATGAAGAAACAGGCTGAAGGCACTGGATATGCAAAGGCAAAAGGCCCTCACAATATTCTGGCAATAGTACTGAAGACGTGTACTCCAGAACATGCTGCACCCCTGAGACAAGTTCCAGTTAAACTGCAACACTGACATTTACCTGACAAGGACGAAAATTGCTCAAATATGTCTTTTCCACAAAAAGCAGGGTAAATCAAAGCCAGCCAATTACCAGTCTATCAGTCTTCTCTCAATTACCAGGAAAATGATGGAAAAGGGCCATTAATATCGCTATTAAGCAGTATTTGCTTGGCAATAGCAAACTCACTGATGCTCAGTTTGGGTTCTGCTAGGGCCATTCAACTCTTGACCTGATGACAGCCTGGTGCAAATGTTGTCAAAAGGGCTGAATTCCAGAGGGAAGATCAAAGGGACTGCTCATAATATCAAGACCATATTTGACTGTGTGTGGCATCAAGGATCTCTTGCAAAACTGTAGTGACCGTGGAAATCAGGTGGGGAGGAGGGAAACATACTCCTCACTGGTTGGAGTTGTACCTAGTACAAAGAAGGATGATTGTGTTTGTTGGAGGTCAGTCACATTAGAGCCAGGACGTTCCTTCAGGAGTTCCTCAGGATAGTGTTCTAGGCCCAACCATCTTCAGCTGCTCTGTAAATGACTATCTGTGACACTGTTTGCGACTCCTAAGATGTTGAAGCATTCCATGTCCAAATGCAGGAAGGCCTGGACAATATCCAGGCTTTGGCTGAAAAGTGGCAAGTAACATTTGTGCCACAAATTCCAGACAATGATTGTCTCCAATAAGAGACAATATAACGAGTGTTCCTTGATGTTCAGTAGTATTACCGTCATTGAAACCTCCGCTATCGAAATTCTTCTGGTCACCATTGACCAGAAACTGAACTGGACTAGCCATAAAAGTGGTGACAAGAGCAGATAAGAAACTTAGAACCCTGTGGTGACTGACACCCCTCCTGACTCCGCAAAGCCTGTCCACCATCCACAAGTCATGAGTGTGACGGAATACTCCCCAGTTGCCTGGACAACAGTTGAGAAGCTTGGCAGTATCCAAGACAAAGTGGTCCAGTTGATTGGCACCACATTCACAAACATTCACTCCCACCATCGCCGATGTACAGTAGCGATTCTATTATCAATACATTGCACTGCTGAATTTGACCATCCCTCCTTAAACAGCATCTTCCAAACCAATAACCACTATTATCTGGAAGGATCAAGGTAACAGATGAATTGGAAGGCCAGCACCTTTAAGTTGCTCTCCAAACATAGCTTGCCCTGACTTGGAAAAATATCACCATTCCATCCATGTTGATGGTTAAAATCCTGGAACTTCCTCCCTTACAACATTGTGGGTGTGTGTAGACCACATGGACTGCAGTGTTTCAAGAAGGCAGCTCGCCAAATGGGGTTGGGAAATAAGCCCACATTCCCTGAATGAATAAAAAAAATGCAATTGGACTGATGTGTAAGGCGTATTGTGTCCTCTAGAATTTCTTCCAGCAACATGTCACATCACCAGACTTCTGGGTTCAACAGATGTTCAGTACTTTTGGATATTAGTTCTATTTGAGCATGTTGCAGATAGGCAATTTTTCTGTCCTACCAGTGCCTAGTTAGTGCCTCCAAAGAGGTCTTTGTGCTCTGCATTAATTTTTGGTCCAAGTTGATGTTTAATGTGCTCTCAGAAGGTAGAAATTCATAGTTTCATGAACTTAGTAACATGAGCATAGGTAAAAGTTGTGCCACATAGGTGTCAGGCAATGACCATCTTCAACAAGAGAGAACCTAGTCATTTCCTCATGACATTCAATGGCATTATTATTGCTGAATTCCCCCCCACCATTAATGGAGTGCCACAAGGATCACTCCTAGAGCCTCAATTATTTAATGCCCATATTAATAACTTCGATGAGCACTGTCAAGAATCCAAATTTACTGATGATACAAAAAAGGGGGAGAGGCATGTTGTGAGGACAACCTGAATCTCCAACAGGTTTTAGGTTGTCTGAGTGAGCAAAAACTTGTCAAATGGAGTGCGGTGTGGGAAAGTGTGAGGTCATGCACTTTGGTAGGAATGATCAAAAAGCAGCCTATTATTTAAATGAAAAGGAATTCCAAAAAGTGTAACATCGAAGGTGACCTTGTGCATGAAACACAAATTGTTACCATGCCGGTGCAGCAAGTTGAGAAAGCAAATGGGATTTTGGCCTTTATTGCTAGGGATTTGGAGTTGAAAGCTAGGGGAATCTTGTTACAACTGTGTAGGAAGTTGTTGAGGATGCACTTGAATACTGTGTCCAGTTTTTTCCCAATATTTAAGAAAGCTTTTATTGGCAATGGGGATTGTTCAAATAAAATTCACTACACTGATTCCTGGGATGAAAGGGTTTATTATTAAGAACATGTGAAAAAGTTAGGCCTTCATTTCATTAGAGTTTAGAAGAAACAATAGTATGTTTTGAAATAACTGGACAGGTTAGATGTTGAGAAGATGTTTCCACTAGTGGGTGAATCTCGAAGTGGGGACATAGTTACAGATTAAGGGGACACATTTAAAACTAAGATACCAAGGAATTTCTTCTCCCTGGGGGAAGCGAATGTCTGGAATTCTCTACCTTGGAGACTAGATCACTCAAAATATTTAAAGTGGGGATAAAAAGACTTTTGAAATATCAGGGAATTAACCGTCATGCTGAGCAGGCACAAAAGAGTTCAGGCCTGGGACAGACCAGCCTTTATCTTGTTGAGTAGTGGGACAGACTTAAGGGGTGAAATGGGCCACTCTTGCTCATCTTTCTTATGTTCTTATTTGTGCTTGCAGAGGGTCTTTCCAAGAATTACCTGAGCTATCAGTTGGTTGGTTTGCATGCTTTGCTGACTCGCTTTGGATCTCAATTTATGTGTTAGGTACAAAGATTGCTCTTCAGTTGGAGATCAATTGTACATCATGGCCTTGAACAAGTGAGAAAGCCATTATTGACCTTGTGACATTTTGCAGTCCTTTTTTTGTAATAGAGCTTTCAGTTGCCACCAAGTGTATTCTGAAGAACCGTCATACCAGACTTGAAATTTCTTAACTCTGCTTCTCTCTCCATAAATGCTAACATCAGACCTGCTGAGTTTCTCCAGCATTCTTTGTGTTTGTTTAAGATTTCCAGGATCTGCAGTATTTTGCTTGATAACTACCAGTTGCCTTTGGATTTATCGCATAATTTGGAAATAATCACTCTTAGCAATTCAGTTTGGATAGGTTTTTGCTGTGTTCTTTGTCTATGAAGGGTTTCTACTTCCATGTTGACCTTTCAGCTTCAAAGTACCAATTGAAGTATGTAAGATTTTGTATTTAAAGCAGGGTTCCAGTGTTTCTAGATATAAAAACCTCCTAGCTGGAAAAGACAGTTCACTGAAGGCTGTAGCACTAGGTGAGACTACTGCGCAAGTGCTTTTAACAATTTATTGCAGGAGAATGACATTATTTTAATTCTGGTTAAGAAATGAGTGTCTGATTTTTCAATTGTGTGTTTTTTGGAGAGCAAGGTGACTCACAGAATGAATACAGGTACGCCTAAAATAAGTTACTTATGTTTGCTTAAAATACACTATTGTCAGAAGTTTTTACAATGCCGTAGTCTTCAAGACACTTTTTTTTTACAGATGGTTTACCACGGTCAGTGTTGAAGGACTGGCGGAAAGTTAAGAAACTTAAACAAACTGGAGAACCTTTTCTGCAAGATGGCTCATGCTCTGAGATAGCACCAAATCTTCAAAAGTGTAGAGAATGTCGTATGGTACGTTACAGGAAGAATGAGGAGTTCAGTCAGTCAGCAGTATTCTGCAGATTCTACTATTTCCGCCGGTATGTAAACATAAATTTGGGTCCTAAATTGCAAGTTGATTGTATCGTTGTTATTCTGGCCTTTCAGGATGAAAAGCAGATTGGTTCAGGTCAGTATTAGGAAATCATCAAGTTAATTAATCTTATTAAGAGAGCAGAACCAGGGCATCTAATTAAGAAATAAAACAAAGAACTGTGGATGCTGGAGATCTGAAACGAAAACAGAAATTGCTGGCAGAACTCAGCAGGTCTAGCAATATCTGGGAAGAAAGCAGACTGAACGATTCGAGCCCAGTGACTCTTCAACGCAACTGATCACCACTGACAAAGAGTCGCTGGACTTGAAATGCTAACTTTGCTTTCTTAGCACAAATGCTGCCAGATCTGACGAGTTTCACCAGCAAATTCTGTTTTTGTTTCATATCTTGGGCAAAGTATTGTTCAGCTACTTATGTAATTGACTACCATTGTCAGTTATCATGTGTACTATTGATTTTGATGTTCATCCTTGCTGCCGAGGTGCTGCAGCCACTGATTGTGTCACCACTTCAAGCTATTGGTGGCTATTGTCTCTGCCATATGAAACCCAGTGGTAGGATTGCTGCCCATAAATCGTGTAGTCATTTCCTGCTACTTTTAGCTAATGTCACCCATATATGAAAACACTGAAGTTATCAAACATTAGCAAAAATGAGAGAGCGTAAAGAGACTTGGACCAATTATGCAGAGGGCTTGAATGAGGCAGTTGTATTGATGTCAGATGATGCCTGAGAACAGTAAATGGGTCAAGTATGAAAGGTTTTGTTTGCCATAGATCAATGTAACTGCAAGATCTTGCCAAGTCCTAAGAAGCAACATCACAACTGTAAGATCCTGGAAATGTGATTTGTGTTATAAGGCAGATGATGCTGAATGATTTAACTTAAGTGAGCACAGCAAACTTTGTTTTAACTGGCATCTTATGAACTGGCACTCACGATGAACTGGCAAAAATTATACACCTGGAGTACCGGACGTTTACTGTATTAAGGCAATCTCTCAGTTAATTGAGGGTGTGAGTGAGAAGGAGATAAGTTTTATTTAAGACAAAGATGCATTATTATTTAAATGATTTATGCTGTTTATAAAGTATAACAGTGATCTGTATACTCTCTGCATTACATTTCTATTAATCATTGTGTGTTTTTATGTTGATTATCTGGATCTCTTGATTAACTGGAATATTTGATCAATCGGCACACTCCTGGCATCCTAGGTGCTGGTTAATAATAAGTTTGCTGTAATTAGCCGTTGTCCACAAAAGCCAATACGTATCTCTGTTCATGAAACAGAAACAATTGGTTAAGTAGCTTGAGCACACCACTCCATAAGTGTGGGCAAGGCAAGGAGGCAGGCCTCTATGCACTGTCACAGCTGGTACATGGATTGAACCCAGTTGTTGGGCAGGATGAAAACAAAAGGAAATTTTAAAGCAAACTACTGAATTTATGGAAGGGGTAATTCAATTTCAAATGCTGCATATTCAGCTTTAGCATCATCCTCACTGGCATGAATAGAGCCATCATAGGCGGTGTTACTGATAGTGTATAGATTGTGATCCCAGTTTCACAGTAGTTCTACTTAGAAATCCAGAAGCTAGGCCAACTGCTAATAGTACTGAATGTTTGAAGATAGGACTCCATAAGAGATAAGAGGGGGAGGCTATAACAAAAGGGTTGTGCTCATTAGTTGTGAAAACCACTCAGTGCCAATGTCCTGTGGTCTTTAAGGGTGAAAATACTGTTGTATACAAAATGTTAATATGTCACGTAAATATCTATTTTTTTGATCAGGGTGACATGTCCATCCTGGGCCTCCTCCAGTGTCACAATGACACCATCGCAAACTGGAAGAGCAACACCTCCATAATCTGCTTCGGGAGCCTACAGCCCGATGTCCTAAACATGGAATTCACCAGTTTTTTAAAATCTCCCCACCCCCGGCCTCATCCCATGTACAACCTTCCCTGTCATCCCTGCCTCCTTGACCTGACACAACCTGTCCATCTTCTCTCCCATCTATCCATCCCATCTATCCATCCCACCCATCCCACTGACCAATCCCCACCGTTCTCTACCTGCACTCACCTATCGCCATCCCACCCACCTTCCCCAGCCCCACCCCTCCTCTATTTATTTCTCAACTCCCTTGACCCTGCCTGATCCGAAGCATCAACTTTCCTGCTCCTCTTATGCTACCTGGCCTGCTGTGTTCCACCAGCTCCATGCTGTGTTGTCCTCATTAAAAATAGAATTGTGTTGGTACTTGAAATTGAACGTGCTGAATACAGGGAAGTACAAGAAGGTGGAATTAGAATAGATAGCTCTAATTTAAGGCTGAATTTGCTTCTCTGTGCTTTAATTTTTTGAAATTATTTGTCGTCAATCAAAACAGTTGTCTACCAGCTGTACAGTTGCGGTCACGTAATGTATAAAATGATTTCACTAAATTAACCTATATCTCTTTACTTTTGCAGACTGGCATTCAGTAAGAATGCCGTACTAAGGATAGATGGATTTTCAACTCCAGATCAATGTGATGATGAAGCAATAAATCTGTGGTTACCTAGTGATTCCATGGATTTGGACTTAGAATCTTCTAAATACATTTTGAGAAATATTGGAGATACGTTTTGTCAAATAGAGACATCCGAGAGGACTGCTATGAGTTGGCTTAAACTTGATGGTAATAGTTCGCTTCTGTCTAGTTTTACGATCTGTTTGTACAACAAACATACTAAGCGTGATTTAAAACTTGCTGCAATAGAAGTGTCAGTGTTTACATGTTGATGGATTCAAATTCTTGACAACTTATGTTGCATGTTGAATCTTTCGAACATAGTGCTATGAATGGTTTTGGAATATTGGGTTGAATTTTCCCACTCCATCGAGGAATGGCTGGAAGGAGTGATCGGTGGCAATATGGCAGGGGAACGAAATGTCTTCTCACCACACAGCATATTGCCGGCGCCAGGAAACTTGATGCTGCCACTCGCTGGACAACTGCTTACACTGTCCACGAGAATATCATGCTTATTATGGTGACTTAAAAAATGCCTGAATTAAATTTGCTAGTTTTAGAATTGGAGATAGATTAAATGACAGATAAATAGATAGTGCAAGTAAGTTGATTTGTCAAAATTCCCATTGCATTTATATTTAAGTGAAATCAAACAGTACATCTTTCTATCCCGACTTTTATTTGCCCTTTTTGACTATGCAGTAAGTGCCCTTTCCTATTTTTTCTGGTTGCCAGAATTTGCGTCTCAACATTTCTAACATTTTCCAGAATGTTTAAGATGCGTATTTTTCTTACAACAGTTCATACCTCGTCTGATCATTAGTTTTGAACATAGTGTAGTCTAAACTGCTGCAAAAAGCAATCGAAACTGGTGAACTTTCCCCTATTAACTGAAAGTTTCAGTATACAGTAACAGTGTTTGTTTTGTGTTTCAGCCAAAATAGCCTGGAAGAGAGCAGTAAAAGGAGTTCAGGAAATGTGTGATGCATGTGAAGCCACATTGTTTAACATCCATTGGGTTTGCCAGAAATGTGGATTTGTGGTCTGTTTGGACTGCTATGAAGCAAGAGGAAGAAGAGGTTCTAAAGGTCAGTTTCTGAATTGATCTGTGGATAAAACAAAATGCAGGCCATGTTCACACATTGTTCAGTTTCAGCTGTATTGAATGTCAGCATCAGAATACTCTCTGCTAACTGGCGTGAAAGCTTTGTGAATTTTCACTTTTTCACATGTACTATTTTGCTCTCTAGTTGCTTCATAATTCCCTGAATTAAATAAATTAATGTATTCATTAGTCTGCAGCATCACCCATGTGTGAAAACCATGTGGTTCCAGTGCAGTTTTCAAAATTACGTCAAGATGTGTGAAAATGTGCCATGCAATTGAAATGTCTGTTCAAATCTTTAGGTATAGTGCAGCATTCATCTTCAATTCACATGTTAAAATGCTCTTGCTCATGGTCAGTGGAATCCAGTATTGATTAAAAGGGAATGTTTTGCGATTCACTTTCATAGAAATGCAAGTACTGAAGAAACTGTGTGGCAGTATCTGTGGAGAATGAAACAGAGTTAAAGTTGTAACAATTATGTGACTATTCTATGGTCTTTTTTATAAACTTCATTCTACTGCATCTGCCACAAATTCGTTAAATACTGTTATTTTCAGTTTCTTCACTGTCCTTTAAAATAACTGTAAATACAATTGACAACATGGCTAGCTTGGTTGACATTTACTCCAAGCAGTTCCTCAATCCTGTCCAAAATTGCAACTTTTAACAAACATCACCGAAGAAGATTATTTAGTCACTATGTCATTGCTGCTTGTGGCATCTTGCTATGTGAAAAGTATCTGTCTGTTTATATTACTGTGGTGAGTGCACTACAAAGGGGACAGGTGTGTGAAGCATTTGGGGTATTCTGAGGACATGAAAGGCTACATCAATACATATTCACTTTCTTCAAGTTTTATGTAACTAATTTTGTCAAATTATAGGACAAAGTGGTAATCTACTGCAGTACCCAACCTAATATTGTTGGATATTTTCTTTCTTTTTAACATCTAGAATTCTGATTTGCTTAATCGATAATGATATTTTGTAAGATTTTTCTTTCTTTAGCATATTTTCTCCAGTCTAGTTGGCAACATCTATTTTGCCTCGTGTCTTTACCACAGATGCAATGCGCACATTTAATTTACGTGGTCAGGGCCTGGCCTATTTCTGCAGCTAAGCTGCAGATTTGTACATCACACTAAGGTCCATTGTGCTGTTCAGTCTAGTTTACAGTGGCACACGGGGTTGAATGTGTAAACCTATGTGATGTCAGTTGAAATGTTTTGACATCTTTATTTCTTTGGTAGGGGAGGCAATAGCCTAGCGGTTTTATTGCTGGACTGTTAATCGTTCTGATAGCGTTCTGGTGACCTGGGTTCAAATCCCGCCACAGCAGATGGTGGAATTTGAATTCAATAAAAAATATCTGGAGTTAAGAATCTAATGATGACCATGAATCCATTGTCAATTGTCAGAAAAGCTCATCTGGTTCACTAATGTCCTTTAGGGAATGAAACTGCCGTCCTTACCTGGTCTGGCCTACATGTGACTCCAGACCCACAGCAATGTGGTTGACTCTGAACTGCCCCCTGGGCAATTAGGGATGGGCAATAAATGCTGCCTAGCTAGCAACACCATCATCCCATTAATGAATTTCTAAAAAATCTGGGATTCTCCGATCCTATCTGTCACTGTATATATTTCCAACCATGTGCTCCATATAGGTATGTTTTTGGATAGTATCGAAGTAATATGAATGGGGAATATACAGTGTAAAGGCACTTTCTGTTCTTTAATCAGGGATCACCAGATTGGTTGGTAACCTTTGCTGTTTTCTCTGTTTGAAAAATGTTGGCTGAAAATGACCCCATTATATTAATAATGCTTGAATCATAATGGATAGATATTGCTCAGAACCATCGAGTTTTACTTTTTTCCGAGACAAAATTTAAGAACTCTTTAAGACACAAAGTTTAATATTATGTTATAACTTCTTTATTTATGCTCCAAAGAAATCCATTCTTGAATTTACATGAAACATTTGCTGTTTTCATCTTTCAAAATGCAGATTCGTCATTGATGCAAATGTTGTGATTGTTACTTCTCCATGTTAGATTTTCTGTTGTATCAAAGATAATTCTAACAAGTATCAATAAATATATTTGTCTTGTTTTGTGATTGTAGCCAATAAGGAACTTTATGTCTGGTTAAAGTGTGTCAAAGGCCAAGTTCATGATACAAAGAACCTGATGCCCACACAGATTATCCCGAGTACTGGTAAGATTCTGCAGCGGTGTATTTTGGGATTATTTTGCTCAAAGTTGATCAGAGTGTAATTACACATATTGTAACTTACACAATGAGGGTGTAAGCATGAAGGTTTTTAAAAACAAAACTCACGTGAATTATTTTGTGTGTTTTTATCTCTTTTTAATGTAGGATGATTGTTCCATAGCCAGGCATACTCTAAGGGAATACTTTAAGTGCTAAAGGCAGTTTGAAAAATGAACAGAGATAGTAGGAACTGCAGATGCTGGAGAATCTGAGATAACCAGGTG